TACACTCTTTAAACACAGAATCAATAAACTGGATCTTACGTGAATGTTCTCCTACTCTCCTCTTTACAGTATGCTATTTTGCACATGGGGATTTCCCCGTTTACTGTAATTCACTTTGTGTAATAAAAAAAGCCTACAGGACACACGAGCTTCTAAGCGTCCGTCCTTGGTCAGTCGTATAGTATCCACCGAGTTGAGAGCCATTTTATTATCTATGGATGGAGTACTTCCCGTCGTCAGTCCGTTGTTAAATTCTTTATCGTACATGCAACGGAGCTTATCGACGAGGGGTTCCCTCCCAAGTCAGATAGTTTATGAACGACTTATGCACCTTTGGGGAGTGTCGATCTGAACATAATCCACCCAGCAAATGGTTGTTTTCGACCTCCTAAGCTTTGATCCAGTATCCAATTCGCTTCTGGTACACCCGCATCGATAATAATAGGCACTTCGGAAGCTTTTCTGTTTTGGGTTCTGATGTATGATGGGGGCTTGAAGTTATAAGATACAATGACTCCTAGGTCCTTCACTTTTCTCATGAGATTAGTTTCAATCTGATTAGCAAGTACGACTCCTGTGGTGTGAAGCTGGCATTCCGATAGGATCAGTGGGGGTCCTACCTTCTGGACCACCTTATAACAGCTTACAGACACTGGTATACATTCGTTCCCGCTACCTTGACGTCGCCTGCCAACAGGAAGCAAGGGTAGTTTATTTCTCATGGTCATTTACGAGTATTAGGAATAGTGGTGAACTAAGTGAAGCTTCAGGTAAGTTACAACCTTCTGTAGATAGTTTGAGAACTGATGTAGCCATGTTCGGTATGCTTTTTGTAAAATGTTGCTACAAGATTGGGTTGGTCCAGCCCCCAACCTCACCCTGACTGGGGAGGTAGTGAGGAAGTAGAGAAATTTTGCTATATGGCAGCTATATCTCACCTGGCGGATGCGCCACAGATGAAGTACCGGCACACATACAGAAAGTTCAGTTGGCATTTACCAACTTGAGACATCTGTGGTACCGTCGCGACATCCTGTGAAGGGGCGGGTGTATGCTGCAGCAGTTCGGTCAGTGCTGCTATACAGTGCAGAAATTTGACCATTGCGGAACCATGATAAAAATAGATTGTTGTTGTTCGAACACCGCTGTTTGCGTGACCAGCCGCAACTTTAGACACCTATAGCCGACATTACTGAGGATTTTGGAGGCCTAGTAAATCACATGTAACGGGCATGATACTGCTAGCTTGCCCCAGACCCAAACAGGTAAATTTTATTGAAAATTTCACAACCACCGCCACCCGGCTTTGGTGGTAGGCGGCTCTGCTGTCGTCCAGTTCAATACCACGCCTAACCTATCGGGGCCTTAAATGGGTCGCCACTCCAAGTCCCGGGGCTTAGATTGCCGGTTTCCACCACTGAACAGCAGGTCCTCGTGACCATGGGGTTTATCCCGTCTGCTGTTGATCACACTTAGGTGTAATAAAAAACCCGAAGCCTTCTGCTAACCGAAGCCTGACCCGCGAAGCAGCTGGGTAGTGTGAAAACCGTAGTCCATTGAGGGTCGGTGTCCAGTTCATCAAATCATACGCCATTCGGACAGGGGAAAGTGTTGAAGGTGTCCAATACACCTCGATACCCAATCGAGCCGGTGACCGCTACCACGACCAGGAAAGTCTGGTTCGTACGCCTCTTCTCGGTTGGTTTTGAATCAGGGACTTCGCCCAACGGTGATCGATTAATTCAGTTCTGCGCAGATCCTCGGCTTTTCTTAGCTAGCACCAACTTTGACACACCTCTCGTCGAACAGCTGCATGGTGCTCTAGTTCAGCCGGCAAGTTGACCCAAACTGACTACATAGCTTTAAGCTGCCGTTAGCGTGGTTCAGTACAAAATTGCAGATCCTATTGGACCACGTACGTTGAGTCGGACCATGCACTAGTTCTGTTACTCTTCGACTTATCGGTCATCCGCAGAAATCGTACGTTATGAGAAGAAGCTGGAACAGGAGCTAGGAGAATCACGACATAGTGGACTAGACAAACAGTCGGATCAAGTTAGATTTGCAATTCACTCAGCAGTAAACTTTGCTTATGGGAATGAACCCGGAGATATTGGATCCATCAGGAGTCAGTAATCTTGATGGGTCAAAAGCGAATGATCTCAATCTGTCAGGAGCAGAATAGGGATCGGTGGCACCTGCAACGTCAACGCAAGAAAAGCCTTA